TTAATTGGAGATAAGAGTCTCATGGACTTTCCTGCCGGGGCTGGCTTTGAACTGCAATCTTCACATCTCAGCCTCCTGAGTAGCTAGGATTACAGCATGAGCCACTAGCGCCCCAGTGAACTAAGCATTCTTAAGACTTGTGATATATACTGTTGAATTGCTGTCATCTTAGCAATTGAAGTCAAAATCTACTTCTGAGAAAAGTGTTGTGTAGCCGGACGGTGGACCCCAGGGACTTTGAACATTGAACTCCTTGGAGTGTACATAAATAACAGTCTGCTTGTAAGAAGCTTTTGCCAGAGAAGGAAATAGAACATCCAGGGAGAAATTGCTGCCGGTACCAAGATGATCCTGGTGAGCACCCAGGTTCTGCTCCCAGCTACTTGTGTCATTCTTTGGAGCCTCTGCCTTCTCCCCTGAAAGGATAGGAGTTTGGAGTGGAGAAGATTGGGTCAGATACTCTGAATTATTCCTTTACAGCATATTCTGGTATATAAACTGACTAAGTTCTATTGATCCTAAGCCATCAAGCCTTTCTCTTGATTGCTGTTTGCCTCCTCTTTGATCATTCCTGGTTGCAGAACTCCTATTAAGTTCTCAGCTCCTCATCTGTCTTTTGGCTCATCAACCTCCAGAGGGAACTCAACTAACCCATACTCATGGTTTTACATGGTAATATCATAGTGTCATCCATAGTCTGTCAGACTATGTAAAGGGTAAGTTTAAGATCAGTGCCTCCATAGATAATGTATAGTAAGTGGACGGGGGACTTTTGAGTGTTTCTGTTGCTCACTGCCTGCTTACAGGCATACTCCTCTGTGATTCCTCTGGGCTACCTGGTCCCAGGTTGCTTGGTTTCTGAGCCCATGAGGCTTGATTGGAATTGGAGTTAACTGGAAGCTGGATAGCTCACTTCTAAAAGAGATGTAGGAATAGCCTTCTATAAATCCAGAGTATTTTGTGTGTCTTGTCAGAAGGTACTTGCTTTTCCAGGGCTCATACTGCTCGTACAGTTTACTGTTACAGTCAGGTGGAGCTTGCTGGCTTTCTTTCTCCATAAAGTGGCTGCTTTTTTGTTTGTTTTTAAAGCATCAGGGATTAAGCCCCAGCTCTTCTACATGTTGGGCAAGTGCTTTACCACTGAGCTACATCTCCAGTCATTTTTATTTTGATGCAGGTCTCTCTGTGTTGCCTAGGGTGGAATTGAGCTTGTAATCCTCCTGTTTCAGCCTACCCAATAAAGACTTACAGGCATGCACCACCATACCTTTCAGCAGGCCACGTTTTAATGGAAGACATCACTATGTATTTCCATGAGTAATGGTAATGCTCATAGAGTCTGGTTTTGAGGTATTGTTTAGTATATCTGTCTCCCTGCAAACTGCAATATGGGAAATGCTTGGAAATGCAGAATTTATTTTAAGTTCACCTACACATCAGACTTGAGGGTAAGGGAGTAGAACTGTCCAAAAGTAAACCTGCCTCTTTAATCAGTCAGCCCTCTGTCAATTGAATAACAGCATGGTCTGCTTGAAAGATTTGGTTGTGGAAGCTCAGATACCACCTTCATGGCCTGTGGCTGTCCTTTCTTTTTTTTTTTTCTTTTTTGTCTGTTGGGGACTTGAACTCTGAGCCTGAGCTCTGTCCCTCAGCTCTTCAGCTCAAGGTAGCGCTCTACCACTTGAGCCACAGCGCCACTTCCAGTTTTCTGAGTGGTTTATTGGAGGCAAGAGTCTCACCGACTTTTCCTGCCCAGGCTGGCTTTGAACCATGATCCTCAGATCTCAGCGTCCTCAGTAGCTAGGAGTACAGGCGTGAGCCGCCATTGCCTGGCTGGCTGTCCCTTCTGAGCAGGTTACTTAACCTCCTTAACTTCTTTCACACTTGATTTTCCAATCTATAAAATAGGCTGTAATGAGCTTATACAGTTGTGCCTGAAAACTGGTGAGCTCTCACATCCTTATCACCTCTTCTAAATAACACCCTCCTTCTGTGTCTCTCTGGAAAGGAAACTAGATTTTTAACTCTGACTATAAATCTTTGATTGTATATATGTGTTGCTGGGCTAAAATCAATCACCTGACCTCCATCAGCCCCTACTCTGGTGGCTCAAAGTGACTTTTGGGTCTTAGGAGTGAGGGTGGTTGGAACCAGCATTTCAGTGATAAACTATCCCAGGTAGTTTGATCATTTTCCCCTCCCCAGTGTATACTTCCCTCTGGGAAGGCAGAAAGTCAAAAAAGAAATCTAACCCCTACCTTGAAAATTGCAAAATGTGCTAGCATTTCTCAGGGTTAAAGAGTTAAGCCAAGAGTAGCTGACCAGAATGTCTGCTATTAGTTATAAAACTTGAATACAGTTTTAAGACCATGACCTTGGCTGTTCAGAAGAGGGAAGCTACTTGGGCAGTCAGGCTAGCATAAAGTAGATTGCCCTTCAGGCTGGCCTTACAGTGTACATTCAGTTGCAGATTATGGATATGGCTGTGAAGGTTCACTTGAGGACCATAGTGATCAACGTTGGCAGAGGTGTGGAGGATCCTTTTAACGTAGACACTGTCTCAAAAGAGTGTCCTGTTGTAGCTAGAATGTAGGTTTTAGTTGTCTTAACCTAAGAAATGCGCTGTCCTCCATGCATATAGTCCACTATGATTTTTCAGATCCAAACATTTTCTTTTGTCTAATGTGTAGCATCTTTATTGTGGCCTACAGCGTTGGGACTATTGAAATGTGATTTTCACAGTCCTAGTTAGGGTTAGGGGTAATGAGGATGCTAGTGATGGGCTTTTTCTCTAGAGGATCTTATACCCTACAAAATGTATTTCATACTAGTGACTTCACAGTAATCCCGTGATTAAGATGTCATTCTCAGATTTATAAGACTGAGGCTTAGAGATTCAGGGTTTTTTTTTTTTTTTTTTTTTTGTGAAAATACCATATAGAGGGGTTACAATTACATGGGCAAGGAGGTTCAGGGTTTTGTCTATAAAGTTTTCATTGCCTTTCACCATGCTTCACTTAGCCCATGTTCTTCTCTGAATATTAGAATCAAGCCAGTAAACACTGCAGTACCTAGAACCAGGGTATGCATCCAGACCTCTTGTTTCTGGTCTATGCCCATATGGTCTTGTTTTCCAGCCTGGTTTGCTTCTCCACTTGAATAATCAAGTGCTAGGTACTGTCTCTTCCTTGAGTCTGGTAAAAAGTAGCAGAGAGGCCCAGAGAGGCCTCGCTCCCTGCACAGGCTTTTTGGTCCAGGAACCTATTTGCCCTACCCAGATGCTGACTTGGGGCACTTGAAACCTTTTATTTCTTTGTCTGGATGCTCATAATCTAGCCCTACACTACAGCCTGTTTGGCAGCCTTGTTTTCTTATTTCTACTCAGTCGCTATAGTTACCAGCTTTGTATATAAAATGATGATCATTTCCCCACCCTTTATTCCTCCACCAGAAATCTCAGTTATCTGATGTGGCCTTCAGGAAGGAATTTGACTACTTTTTAATCTTTTTCTTTCTGGCTCTGCCACCAGGGATCATTTCTTGTTCTTCTTTTCTGTCTCTCTCACGTCTAGATGGGTTTGGGCTTCAGGTCACAGCTTCATTTTGTAGTGTTTTTAGGTAGGAAGCTTCAGCCAGCTTGCCAGTGACCTAGAAAGAGGATTATGAGAGGGGGAAACAACTGTTCTGGAAAAAAAAAAGCCATCTGCTCTGAACTGGTTCTACCTGTATTACTTGGATTGTGAGTAATATAAACAAATAAATTACATAATTGCAATAGAAGGGAAGACTGTCTGATTGTGGTCAAACCTTAAGTCAGTGTCAAGTTAATCTTGGCTCAACCTGGATCTCCTAGACCTTGGGCTTTGTAAGACAGGGCCTTGGAAATATCATGGCGGGAATCTTCTGGATCACAGCCAAGGCTGTCTAAGGAAGTGCATCCTTTGTCTTTGGTTGTGTGATTACACCATACTAGAAGCAAGAGGACATATTTCAGGGTGTGGCTCAGTTAAAATTGTCCCTTGTGTCTACCTTGGGTGAGTCCCTTCTCTGTGGGCTCAACCTTTTCATTAATGAGATAAGACTTTCATATGAGAGCTGTCAATGAAAAGTATATCATGATTGGCATAGAGAAGACAGTCACCATCCTCCTACTTTCAAGCCCCATACAATTAAAAAAAACCAAAAACTGCTTATGCCTCTACTTCAGATTTCATTGTTCCCATCAGACTTTACACCTTGCTGGCTTATTTGTCCCTTTGGGTCCATTATTGTCTTGTCTGCTCCATGGTAGCCCAGAGTTGCTGTCTTGCATTCCTCTGCCAATCTGTATCCATTAAGGATATCTTGGGTCTTGCCCTTCTGCCTTGTTCATATTTGGTGAGCCTTGCCCTTCTTTGTGGTAGGAGTTAACCTTGCTGCCCCTAGTACTGCTGATGGTGATTGCTACCATAGGTGCCTGCAAATCTAAACTCTGTAGAGCCAGAGATGTGTTAGGGTAAAAAAAACTTAAAATACCATTCTTCATGTATTAACAAGAACTTTTCTACAAGTCAGGAAAGGAGAGAGGGAAGGTCATTTGGCTGACATGGAGCAACAGTGATAGTAGAAGCACACACTTAAACCCCTCTCCTCTTCCCAGCATGAAGTCCTGGGAGTTTGGATGGAATGATGCTCCTAGTTCAAGATACTAAAGAAACAAAAAAAGGCTTCACAATCAACCAAATGGCCTGTGAAACCATGGTGTTTCTACCCAGGCCCCTTCATTTTAAGTGCTAGATGCTCCACTAGTCCCTGGTGCTGTCTGTCACCTCTTGGCCTGTCCTATGTGGGTTGAAATGGGCCTGCATGTGTAGAATTGACATAATACCATTTGTGCAGGTCCTCTTGAAGCAATTATTTGTCGCCACTGTCATTGCTTAATATAGCTTATTCCTTTGGTTGAAAAGTACTGTGAATATATCCATGTCACTGAAGCTCTTTCCTATCCTCCTTTGACTTAGGAGAAAGGATCCTGGGCTATGCTGAGGAGCCCTGCTATCTCTGGTTTGTCATGGAGTTCTGTGAAGGTGGAGATCTCAATCAGTATGTCCTGTCCCGGAGGCCAGACCCAGCCACCAACAAAAGTTTCATGCTACAGCTCACGAGTGCCATTGCCTTCCTGCACAAAAACCACATCGTGCACAGGGACCTAAAGCCAGACAACATCCTCATCACTGAACGGTCTGGCACCCCCATCCTCAAGGTGGCAGACTTTGGACTGAGTAAGGTCTGTGCTGGGCTGGCACATCGAGGCAAAGAGGGCAATCAAGACAACAAAAATGTGAATGTGAACAAATACTGGCTGTCCTCAGCCTGCGGCTCAGACTTCTACATGGCTCCTGAAGTCTGGGAAGGACACTACACAGCTAAGGCGGACATCTTTGCTCTGGGCATTATCATCTGGGCAATGATAGAAAGAATCACTTTCATTGACTCTGAGACCAAGAAGGAGCTCCTGGGGACCTACATTAAACAGGGGTCTGAGATCGTCCCTGTTGGTGAGGCGCTGCTAGAAAACCCAAAGATGGAGTTGCATATTCCCCAGAAACGTAGGACTTCCATGTCTGAGGGGATCAAGCAGCTCTTGAAAGATATGTTGGCTGCTAACCCACAGGACCGGCCTGATGCCTTTGAACTTGAAACCAGAATGGACCAGGTCACATGTGCTGCTTAAATTCAGGCCTGACCATCTTGGGTGTTTTTAAAAGTAGGTGAGTGCTCTCTTCTTCTTCATGCACACTCAATAAAGTGGGTTCTGTGTCCTCCTCCCTCCAGTGTATGCTGTGGAATCGGGAGAAGTGCAGGGATGATGAGAAGGATCTTCTCGCCCCCCTCCCCCCCAACCCAAATACTACCATGACCTCTGCCAAAGTCTTGCTGAAGAGATAGGTTATGTAAGATTATTTGAATACAAGTTGGGAAATCTAGTTTTCTGAGAGGATTTTGTGTTTTGGCTCAATCTCATAAGTTCCTAGGAAATACTTTTTCTTACTGTCAGGTAAGAAGTGCGCACTATAGGAAATGTGCAGAAGAGGTACAGCTTTTCAGAGAGGAAATAGTATTGCTAATCATTGCTTTCCTGTTCAGATGTGTTACATGGTTTAGGTCTTTTTGTAACTAGGGAGACTGTTTTCTGCCCTTTTTACTCAACACAAGATTTGAGCACCTGTCATACTTGGAAAGGATGGCTTTCAGTGATGGGATGGCATCCCATTAAGCAGTCTCTATATGGTAGAGATTACAAAGAATATATTATTGATAGTCTTATATAGACTTTGCTGTTTGAGGGTTATTGTGACTTTTTTGTCAAGTAGGCTGCTAGGCTTTGGGGTAACATAATAAGCCAAATCAACCTTTTCCTTGTCTTTGTGAATTCTGTAGCCTCATTAGAGAGAAAAACATTCTCAATATTTATCAGTTGTGAAAAGGGGACAAGTATTGAAGGAAGTCATCCTCTCAGTATGGTACCCCAAGGCAAGAGTAGGGAATTAGAAGTGGGAAGGATCCCAATATCTACAGAGGAACTGGTCTTGGGGAGCTTGGAGCTTGATACATTGGTTAGACTAGACCTTTGGGTTAATGAGGAGATTGAGGACCAAGACAGAGCGGTATGGAGAGAGGTTAGGTAGAAAATTCAGAGGTGTATGCATTTAACAGGAATCTAGACAGGAATCCAAGGTATGGACCAGACAGTAGATCAGACATTGATCCCCATATTTTTACATGTACTAGAAGTGACTTATCTAAGATCCTATTGAATTAAGAACAGCTACGTCTTAACCTCCTACCTGCTTTTTTTGTTTGGTTTCTTAATGCCAATATGGCAAGGTAGAATAATCTCTTAGATTCAGATTTAATTGAAGCCTTGAGTTAAGGTGGAAGTGCTGGTCTTGCCAGTTGTAGGAAGGAACCATCTGGCATAGAGCCTCTGTCACTTGAGTTAACTGTTCCTCCCTTTTCCCTTGTCACCCTCAGATTTCTGGGTGGAATTCCAAGTAGAACAAGTTACATCTATATTGTTTTCAGCATCTGTATTTCTGGGTGTATCACTAGCCATAATTCTGACATTTCATAAACATTCATGAGTACCTTCCAGGTGCCAGGCCAATTTGTCCACTACCCATTGAGTAAGATGATGGCATTCCCCAAAGCCAGCCTTGAGGGTGACAGGTTGGATAGTATTTTAATTGTATTTTATGCTGTTATTTTCTATTTTGATCTCAGTCTTTCTGCTTTTACAAGATTTCTAGAGTTCAAGTTTGTCCCAGTGTAGGAGGGAAGTTGTCTTTGGAAGAGGGGACCTGAATTTGGGTTATGATTATGTGGTTGTCACAACTAATTAAGATCAGGGCTCCCATTTGTGCACCCACATTTAAGATTTGCTCTGCTTTACTGGTCAAAAGTTTTGGGAAATTTAGGGTGATTCCTCATCTAGAAGAAATGGGTGCCACTGAGTAAGGTTAGCCTCTTGTTCTTGGTAAGTGTCCCAGGCTGTTTGATCCTTTTGTCTTGTGGCTCTCTCAGCTAATAATACTGTGCATATGGTACTAGTTTGTTGTGGTCTATCTTACGCTGTCCTGGGTGGGCACCTACATGTATACTTGGGCCCAGGTCTATGTGACTGAAGCTGAACCTTGTACTAAAAGCTTGGATTTTATTTTCAGACTAGACAGAGTTAGTCCATTAGAGAATCAGGGTTCAGTTGGTAAGAACATTGAATCTAGGTATGTCCTCTTTCTCCTGCCAAAGTTTATGGATGGCAAGAAGTTAACTCCACATATTCATTCAGCATGTTTATTGGGAAACTACTTGCCAGGCACCATTATAGGCACAGGTCATCAGTGAACAAACAACAAATTTTTGCAGTGTGGAGCTTACATTGTATGGGAACACAGTGAAAACACAGAGCATGCCCTAGAAAGGACTAAATGCTGAGTGAGAGTGGGATCGGTAGAGCAGCAGAAGAGATGTGAATGTTGGGAGGTTGGGGGAAGATTTCTTTGGTAGAGTAGGCCTTATAAGCCATTGCAAAGATTTTGGCTTTTAATATTGGGTGAAATGGAAAGCCACTGGTGTGTTTTAAATTGTGTGATATCTGACTCTTTGAAAGTATCACTATGTGTCCACTGTGCTCATAAGCCAAAAGGGAACAAGTGAAGGGGTAAGATAATGATACTGGCTTGAAATAATGGAGCAAGGAAGTAAGTACCATACTATGGGTGCATTCTAGGATAGGAGCCCCAGGATTTCTGGTAGATTGGATATGAGATATAAGAGAAGGAATTGATGACTTGAAGGTTTTGGTCTAAGCAGTTGGAAGGATAAAGCATTGATTAAGAGAGATAGGGGAGGACATTGGGAGGAGTGGGTGTGGTTCCAGGAACCTTGGCACCCCTGTAGAGAATCTGAGTACAAGTGTGTGGAGAAGAATGAGTAGTTGGCTGAGTCTGGAGTTTCTGTATAGCCTAGACATACAAATCTAGAGATTGTCTTTTGCCAAAAGACTAGAAGACAGCCCCGGGCTGCTCTGATATTCACTGGATATACCAAATGGTAGTGTCCTTAGTACTTGAGCAATTTTTGTTGGAGTAACAGAGTGAGTTTGAGAAGGAATGAGGAAGAGAGGGTTAAAGACCTTGATTTTTTTCAGTTGGGTTTGAAAGCCCTCTTACAATGTTGAAATGGAAGATTTCAGAGTTCTTTTGTTTTGTAGTAAGTGGGAGTATTTGCAAATAATAAAAATCAAAACATGTTTTAATGTTTCCAACAACTGAAGAATATGCTAATTACATGTTATAAATACTGTATTTACCTTGGGTGCAGTGGCTGACGCCTGTAAGGATTCGCTTAGCAAGCACAAGGCCTTGATTTGAAACCCTAGTACCACTACTTGAAATATTGATAGCTGTAGATCGAGATATATAATATAATGTCTCATTTAACAGGCTTTGTTTTCTTTTTTCTTGTTAGTCGTGGGGCTTGAACTCTGGGCCTGGATGCTGTCCCTCAGCTCTTCAGCTCAAGGCGAGCACTCTACCTCTTGAGCCACAGCACCACTTCTGGTTTTCTGGTGGTTAATTGGAGATAAGAGTCTAATAGACTTTCCTGCCCAGGCTGGCTTGGAACCAGGATCCTCAGATCTCAGCCTCTTGAGTAGCTAGGACTAGGTGTGAGCCACTGGCGCCCGGCTGAACTTTGTTTTCTTTATGCACTTTTTCTTTGTTCAGTGTGTGCCTTAATAGTCAGCTGGGTACTTATCAGCTGTGCATTATTATCTAGTGGTATGTTACTCATAGAGTAACCTGGAAAACACCATTGTACACAAAGGGAGACAATCAAATGAAAAAGCCCAATCATTTGCTATTGTCATTATAAACGTATATCTTCCCAGACTGTGCATTGAGAGCCATTCACACACACAGCTCTGGCTGAGGAATTTTGCCATTAAAGTGAGGCCAAAAAGTAGGTGGTGGCTAAAATCTAGAAAAGGAGGTTATGTGTGGTCCCCAGGAAAGGGATAGAACTTGTGCACCCTGGATCCCCAGCAACTTTCAAGTTAGACATATCACGGCCCAAGCTAGCAGCACATAGTAAATGACCACACCTAACCACAGTGCTGACATGAAGAATTCCCTTTGTCATTTAATGTAGTAAATTTCATAGTATCATTTAGGTCAAGCTTTTTTCCCCCCAGAATGAAAGGAGGAAACACACTTGGGGTTGGAAGTTCAGATTCCTCTGGAAGGTTTGCTGACTGGAGATAGTACAGGGACTGAGTCACATTTCTGTGTAGCCACAGGCAGGTTATGTTCCTTTAAGCCTTGGGCTTATTACCTATAGAATGGACTCAGTCATAATTGTCTAGTGGAGGTGGGGGGGAGGATCACAGGAGGTAGTGACTGCAGTAAGTGCTACATGATACCATGTGGCCTGAAAGGGAGCCCCTCTGAAGATAGTGACTTGTAGCTTGTCTTTAGAAGATTGCCAGAAAGCTTTTCTTTTAAAATAAAGTTGTATTAAGGGCCATTTGTCCAGTTGCTTCTCCCAGAAAAAGTTACTCACTCCCTTTACCAATCAGCCCCTATCTCTCCCTTATTTGTCACTTTTGGGAGACATTTAATCCTTTCTAATGGGTTCTACCAGCCAGTCACAAGCCTTACCCCACACAGGAAGCCAGTCAAACTGACGTGCCAGGTGTCACCGCCCTCACATTACCAGGGAAGCAGGGTGTTGGGAGATGAAGAATTGCACATTCATGGCCAAGTCTGCCGCCCAATACACAAACCTTGGTTACTAGGGCCTTTTGGAGCCAAGCCCTTGAATGACGTGCATTTGGAGTGAACAGCTAAGGCCTCCAAAGGAAATCAGATGTTGATGTGACCTGAGGGGTCATAGAAAGTCTTGGTGTTCCATCGAATGATATTAGTGGCCTAATATCACAGAAAGAAACTAGTCCTGATTTCTTCTTGAAGGTTAGAGTTCGTAAGGAGCAAATTGTAGATTTGAACTCTCATGGCTTTGAGTCATCTATAAATCATTTGTGAATTTTAGATAATCTACATAATGGAACTTTCTCAACTAGGTTGAATTTCCTGTCCACCTAGCTCTGGGCAATCTTATGAGTGACAGGGACTTGAGACACATAGTAGGTTCCTCATGGGCGGTAGTTTCTTCTACTCTGGCAAAGTCAGAGTATACTTGTAGGCA